AATGTCCTAAATTACTGAATTTAAAAAAAAAGACTTTAAAACATGACAAAGGAATACAATTCTACCTAAAAGACAAGACAGACTTGGAAAACAAACAGAACTTATAGAAATGAAAAATATTACCGACACAAACAAAACTCCTCAGGGAGTTTTGGGCTAAAGATCAGATTAATTAGACACAGCTGAGGAGAGAAAAGTGCCTTGGATGAAACAGTTGAATAAATTATCCAGAAAATCAGAAAGACAGGAAAAGAAATAAGATTAAGATAATGCATTAGAATTTTCCAGAGTTGTCACATTCAGAAAGTACAAGTTCCAAGGAATAAATAGAAACTATACCAATACACACACCATAGTGTAAACTGCAGAGAGAAAACTGTCCAAAGCCAAAAGTGAAGAACTTAAAAACAACAGAAAAAGAAAATGACCTAATAAGTCAACAGTGTTCTCAACAGTGGCAAAATAAGTGAAAAGGGAGTGGAATAAATAATTGAACTAAAGTAAAAATAAATACCAGTTTAAGATATTTCAGATAAATTATCATTCAAAAGTTAAGGTTAAGTTAGTTACATGATTCCACATGTATGAATTTTTGTAACAGGAAAAACTCATCTTTAGGAGAAAAAAATTAGAATAGGCTGGAAGTCAGGGTGACATTAACTTGGGAGGGAGAAGATGGTAGGTATTCCCATGGGAAGCTGCAGAGACTTCTGGAGTGCTGGTGGTGGCCATTTTTTGACCATGGTCAATAGCTCCTGCAGAAACCTGTGCTACTACAGCACTTACTGCATCAGTTGTTACATAACCTATTAATAGGGCAACATAGTAATTTAGGCGCAAAGGTCCATTAGTTACACTTAAAAGAGGTCATTAAATTTTTTTTCAACTTTTTATTTTGAAATGATTTTAGATTCTATGGAAAACACCACAAAGAATTCTTCACTCATATTACTCAAAAGTTACATTTAAAATGTAAACATCTTCAATTTGAGTTTTGCAGAATGACTGAGTCCACTTACCGTCATCATTTATTCACTATAATGTTAGATTTGTAGGCTTCACCCAAAAAATTATATTTCTTGATTATGCATTACTGCCCTGGACTTACTAGGGGTGAACATAATAAATAAAATAAATATTCCGTATCTCCAAAGATTTCAGGTAAGGGCAGACCTTTAATTATACTTGTGTATTATTTACTAAGTGGTAGGTAGTGCCTCAGGTATTATTTAATTCTTTTAACAACCCAGTAAATTAGATCTTGCTCAAGATTACATGATGTTAGTAATGGCAGAGGGTATAGTCAAACACAGATTTCAAAGTTAAGCACTTTTGAAAGGAAGTGAAAAATAAAGCACTGAAAACGAGTGCCCTAAAAATAAAATACTGCAAGTGTAGAAGGTAAAAAGAATATTTGAAAAGATTTAGTATCTAAATCCCTTTTTTCTCTCCTCCTAGCAAATAACACTACAGTAACCTAAAATATTGGTCATTTTCACATGAATGGCTGATAAAAAAGATATTTCTAAAAGTCTTCTTTTTCATTTTATTACCCTGAAAGTGAAATACCATAAAACTTATGCACTACTTTTGAGCAATAAAATTTTCTGCAATCCTGATTTTTATCATAGTTATATGACCCAATAAAAGATTAGAAAAATTAACTGAAAGTATGTCTTCTGCATTTATCTAAATTAGTGGTTCTTGAATAGGGGTGACTGGCTACTTGCTCCTACCCCTCAACCCCCTCATGGGACATCTAGCAATGTCTAGGGATAATTTGTGTTATCATGACAGCATATGTGTAAGCACATTATGTGAGCTACCAACATTTGGTGGGTAGAGCCAGGGATATTGTTAAACATCCTAAAATGCACAAGGTAGATTCCCACAACAAAGAAGTATCTGGCTCAAAATGTCAACAATACCAAGATGAGAAATCCTTCCCTGAAACATTGATGAAAATGCTGAATGAGAATGAAGAAAATATTGAGACACACTAAAGAGATTTCTAAGTTGACTACCAATCAACTAACAAGCAATATTTTTTAACTATGGCTTTCAACTAGATAGGAACTCACCTTATTGCATTATTATTTACCCAATATCTAAATACAGATATTTTAAATTCAGTTAGTAGCAAAACCATTTTTCATTTAAAAACTGTCATGAAAAATATAACAATAAACAAATGTAAAAATTCAGTCACATAAATCTGAATTGTTTTTTTTCACTGAAACAATTCCCAAAATGTTTCTATGAATGAAACATCACCTTACCACAACAAATTGAATTAATTCAAACTGTTACACTTGAATTTTAAGATATCACTCCAACATACATAGCAAATCACTATTACATGAAAGAAAATTAAAATATCTTTACAAACTAGCAAGTTAGCAGCAATTTTTTTTAAAAGAGAAAATTCTGTGCTGGTGAGATGTTTAGATACATATTCTCATATGCTACAAATTAAAATAAAAACTTGGTAAACATTGGCTCAATAAGGAAACATGAAATGTTATCAGCAGTAATTTCTACACAGAATTATAGGTGCTATTATTTTTTCCTCTAAACTGTTTTTTATTTTTAAATTTTTTTTTAAAGATCTATTTATTTATTTATATAAGCACTGCGTACAGTCAGAAGCAGAGGAGGGTGAGAGAATTCACCAGAGCCAGAGTGGGGAACAGAACAGGCAGACCGACGAAATACACTGCTGAGGGGAGCAGCGGGCGCTGCAGGAGAGGTCTGCTCGCCATGCGGGACCCTCGCTGGTGGCTGGGGATCGAACAGGCGCTGCTGAGGCTGCAGGCAGCTTTGCAGGCCAGCGTTCAACTGCTGCGCCACCAGGGGAGGCCCTCCTCTAAACTCTTTGTTATGAGGATATATCACGTTTATGATTACTCTTATATTCTGATTTCTTCTACCTATCAGTTACTCCCTAAGTGAATTAATACATTGTCACAACTCTACAAGGTAACATCATTAGCTTTCTTTTACAGATGTCCAAGAAGAAATTCACTCTAAAGTCCATCATGCACAGTTATTAATCTACCAATATCGCAGAAAAACACTAAAGATCAAAGTATGTCAACTATAAATCATTATAAATTCATGAGCAAAAGGCATAATGCAAGAAGAGTTGAAATTGCCATTTGAAAGAAGTAGGCATTCCAAAATAAGAGTGCAAATTTGGTTTGTTAACTAGAAAATATACTCAATGAAATATTCTCATTAAAAACTTCCCACATCTATCACATATCTAGAGACACAAAATTCTGTATCTGAGAATATATGCTTTTTAGTGCTGAGAACTAAGTTCTGAAGACAGTGATTTTCTTCATAAACACATTTCATATTTGAGAAAGAACAAATCAGTTACATTAAATTTCAAAAGAATTATGTCAATTTCTAAATATGCCAGATCAAAAAGTACAGCGGAATCATCTATTTCATAAATATGAGGCATTACCTTTCTTTAAAAGCCAACCAGGGGCCTCCCCGGTGGCGCAGTGGTTGAGCGCTGGGTTGCGAAGCTGCCCGCGGCCTCTGCAGCGCCAGTTCGACCCCTGGCTGCTCCCCGGCCACCGGAGGAGGGTCCCGCATGGCGCGCAGACCTCTCCTGCAGCCCGCTGCTCCCCTCAGCAGTGTACTTTGGTCCTTCTGCCTGCTCTGCTCCCCACTCTGGCTCTGGTAAATTCTCTCACCCTCCCGCGCTTCTGACTGTACCCAGTGCTTGTATAAATAAATAAATAAAAATAAATAAATCTTAAAAAAAAAATTAAAATAGTCTCTGTCTCTGAAATAATTAAAAAAAAAAAGGCTAACCAGGAGAAAAGAAAAGCACTTTTACAAATATTTGTCTGGAAACATAAAATAAATTCATAATACCACCTTCTAATAATATCTTTTGAAAAGTTGTAGGATTTATGAGAATAACAATAATACTCATGAGTCTGTCTTTTCAACTTTTAGAGTGGTAAAACTGGAAGGGAACTTTTGAGTTTTCCCAGTCCAAGCCCCGCATCATACAGATAAGCTCAGAGAAAGGAGGTGATTTGCTCAAGACTTTAACAGGCTACAATTAACTCAGATTTTTTATTTTAAATTCAAGTCTTGACTTTTGAAAAGTATTATCCAATAATTTAGTTAGCTTCTTAGGATACTTTAGTTAGCTTCTTAGGATCCCATTCTTCTCTGAAATAATGGGGCCTAGGGTCCTCCCTGGTGGCGCAGGAGTTAAAGTCTCAGTGCTATCAAGCTATCACAAGCTACTCTAGCATGAGTTCGACCCCTGGCCAGGGAGCTAACCCACATGGCGCAGCAGGCCTCTTCTGTCTAGCCTGCTGCTCCCCTTATCAGTAGATTTCACTACATCACCTGTTCTGCTCCTTACTCTGTCTCTGGTGAATCCTCTCACCCCCCAACACCTCTGACCTATGCCCCATATGCATAAATAAAAATGTCTTTAAAAAAAAAAAAATAACGTGGCCTATTTCAATCAACACTATCAGGAAGTGGCAAACTAATCTCTGTTGCAGTATCTTCAAAGATTCACAATAGAGTAAATGTTTTCAAAGTCCCCTTCTGCCCCAATGCTGGCTCAAATGAAATCTAATTTGGAATTCCAAGTAGAAAGCATTATAAAAGGCAAGCTGATGTGGTTAAAACAGTATAGGGCTCCTGCTTTGACTCATCCCTCTGCCTGAAGCCTCTGAAATATTTCCATGGTATCTTAGGTCTCAGAGACAGAAAGAGAAAGAAAGAGACAAGACAGACAGACAGACAGACACACACACACACACACACAAGCTCAAATTTTAATTAGACTCACACGACACATAGTTACTGTAAGTTTTTAAGTACTTATTTCCAATTTGTGTGTATGAACCAATAACAAACAGCTCAGAAACCACACTTTGGGTAGCAATGCACCAAAAGGATATTCCTGATCAAATCAGAATACCTTAAATATTAATAAGGAGATACAAACTTACTTCTTATCAAAAAATGTTGAATTCTCTTTTCTTTTGGTGAATCCATTAGGTAGAAGTTTTAAGTTAATACCTTGCCTTCGGGCACGATTTTTCATAAAGTACATCTAATCAAGAACAAATAGACAAATCAATTTAAGTGCTTTAAATGTCAAAAGTAAAAGAAAAAAAGGGCTCAATAATATAAAAGTTAATATTTACTAAATACTTATGTTTCACAAACTATGCTAAACTTTAGTATCTCAGTTAAACCCCCAATACTATAAGATAGGTACTATTATCACCCCTTATTTTAGTAAGAGAACTCATGAGATACCAACATTGTATTTCAGAGAAGTAGAGCCTGTATTTAAACCCAGGTCTGTCTAATTCCAGAGTCTCTACTCAACTTTATGCTCCAGAAGCTGAAAGAACTGTATGGGGATTAGGAAAAACACAAGTCATTTGGCAATCATAGGGGATATCTACACAGTTCTCTCTTTACTGATGGTTTCAAGCCACATTTAGCTACATACATGTCTAATTTCATTACTAGCTAAGTAGCTCACCCAGTAGTTTTAATGGCATTATCCAAGCCACCATCATTTCTCACTTGAACCACAGCAGTAGCTTTATAACAGGCTTCCCTGCTTCCAATCTTCCACTCTTGCCCAATAAAGTCCATTTTCCAGAAAGCAGCAGCTCTTTCATCTTTCACAAAGCAAATATGCTCAAAACCCTTTCATGGGGTTTTCATTTTCACAAAGAATACAATAGAAGCCCGCTCCAGTTTCTCAAATCTCATGTTTAACATTCTCCTCTTTACTCACTAGGCATCAGACCCCTCATTTCTTTCTTTAAGATTTATTTATTTTTGCATACAAGAACTGCGGTACAGGCCAGAGGTGTGGGGAGTGAGAGGATTCACAGTCAGAGACAGAGTGGGGAACAGAACAGGCAGATCAACTCAAATACACTGCTGAGAGGCACAGCGGGCGAGTCAGGAGAGGTCTGCTGTGCCTTGTGGGATGCTCCCTGACTGGCCGGGGATAGAACTCATGCTGCAGTGGCTGTGGATAGCTTCATAGGTTGCGTCTTAACCCCTTGCACCACCAGGGAGGCCCTCATTTCTTCTTTAATTCCTCAAACATACCAACTTCATTCCTGTCTCAGGGATTTCACTACTTTCGCTTTTGTCTCTACCTAGAAGAGTGTTCACCAAATGTTCACATGACTGCCACATCCCCATCATTCATATTGCAACTTAAATAGCGATCATTTTTCAGAACCTTTTCCTGACCATTAAACAGTCAGTTTACCCTCACAACTTCCCTGCAACACCATTCTCAATCTCTTTAATCTCCTGAGCTTTCTTTATTTTCTACATGCACTTAATTCTACCTGAAATTACATTGTTCCTCTACTCATCTCCTGTCTCTTCCCCTACAATACAAGCTCCAGGAGGGGAAGGGCTTTGTTTTATCACTACTGTATCCTCAGTGACTGGCATAGCACTGGATTATGAATGCCATAATTTTGAGTGAAAAAATTAATCTAAGTGATTTGAAAGAATTCTAACTAGAATGGATTAGAAGAAATACTTACATGCTTATTGCTTATTGGTCTTTTCAAGAAAGTATCTCTAGAAATATGGTCTGCTGTTCTTGCCACGTCTTCCAAAAATCGATAATCTAAAAATTTCAAAATAGGAAAATAAGCAAATGATATATGCCCATGGCCCGGAAGTATCAAAAGTATCAATCAGCTATGCATAACACGGCTTACCACTTAGGAGATTCATTTCAGTAAACTGTTGTATTGAAACATATGCAGTCTTATCCCGAACTCCATTACATGTGAAGTCTGCTTTGTGTTTCTTGACACAGGGCAAACTGAAGGAACAAAAAGAAGTTGCTTTTAACACTCTGAAATAAGAAAGGTATAGATAGAAATAATAAGGTAGGAAATTACATATGTACCTGCAGGAATAACGCATACAACGTGGACATCTGTACTTTGCTTCTTCTGTACCACAAGTTTCACACCTACAAAAGCCCAAATGAAATTTAGTAAACTATCCAATATTAATTCCTCTTATTTATAAACTTTGAATGCTAAATCAATTACTCATTACAATGAATTTACAGATGTGTAGTTTTGGAGAATGAAAGTAACTGAAAAAATACTTGATAGCTGTCAAACACTGTTGGAATTTCTCCTCTAGGAAACCATCTCCAAATGACAACTACATTGACAACACTGCTAGTGCTATGTAATTCAAGAAAATACACATCAAACTTAATAACCATCTTGCTTTGACTTTTTACACTATGAACAGAGAACTTATTCACTTGTATTTTAACTTGTAATTCCTAGCACAATGTGTCAACGATTATGTATGAGTACACATACCTCGTAGTTCAATCCATGAGCTATATATCTTAAAGGCACCAGAAAAGAATTTAAGTCAAACTTTATATAGAGAGGCAGCTGCATCTTTTCTCCTTATTTTCACACTCAGCCTAGATGGGCATCAAAATTATCTATAACTTGACTTCAACTGCTCTTCAAGGAATACTAACAACAAATCTATAGCTACTTCTGTATGACCCATTCTGCTCTAGTCTGTAATAGTCCCAGGAATCTGACCATTTGTTAATTTCCTACACTGTCTCACATGGTCACACAACATAAAGAAATTTAATCAAAAGCAATACATATTTGTAGTACCCACAGCTAAACCACACAATCGAATGGGTTTAAGTGCATTTGTGTCTAATTTTAAGTTAATCCACTTTGTCATTACGGTTTTATAAGAATTTTCCTCATCTTTATCCTCTCTCAAAGAAATAGTGAGTCAAAAGCATAAGTCCTACTCCCTCTTGCCCCCCTGTAGTGTGTCTCTGGTTTATAGTTGCTTATTGAAACAAGGAGGTGTGGGAATTGTATGGGGACTATAACCAAGATGAAAATGCATACATACATTGTGCAAAAATGAAAAATGATGTAAAAGTATATAAAATTTTTTTAAATAATTTAAAAAAAGCATAAGTCAAGTCAGAGTCACCAAAATTTTCATTCTAAATGTGGCAAAGACCACAGGACACTGAACCTCTCATGTTCATTAGACAACACTTACATTCTCAATTCCCCACTCCCCCCTCCTACCACTCAGGGGTCTCAAAGTTGGGCTTAATTTTCATTATCCCACACCCTGTTCACAGTGTAGTTTCCTTCAATCTAGCAAGAGAGGAGTTCACCGTTTTACATGCCCCATGGATTTCTTCTTTTCCTACCTTGACATAGCCAGTTTCCGCTTGCAGCCCACAGGCAGATTTATCTGAAGCTCTTCTTTCACCTTTGTATCATCCATCACTTCTTTCTTTGGGCAATATTTCTCTTCTTTTACACACACTTCATCCAACACCTCCTCCTTTTTTATGTCCTGACCATCAAACATCTCCTGTTTTATTTCCAAGTTATCCTTCTCTTCCTTCAGTTCCAGCCAGTCCACACTCTCTTCTTTCACCTCCACTTTCTCTTTCTTTACTTGTAGCTCATCTGCCTTCTCTTCTTTCACCACCAAGCTACTATCCACCTCCTGTTTCACCTCCGATGTGCCCGGTTTCTCCTCCTTCACGTCAGGTGCATCCTCCAGCTCCTTCTTCACCCACTGGCCGCCCAACATACCTTCTCCCATCTCGGACCAGTCCATGACTTCTTGCTTCACAACCGTTAGGTCCACTCGCATTTCCTCTGCTCTTTGTCCACTTCCCTCCTTCCCATCACCTGTCAGTCTACTCCCCATCTCTGCACAGATGGCCTCCTCCATCCTTGCTACGACCCTGCCTCCCTCCTCCCCGGACTGGGACTCGGGCATTCGCGGCGCCCCCTCGGCTGCACGTTGATCTTCTCCCGACGTCCCTTCAGTTTCACCAGCAGAATCCATCGAGTGACTGCCCTGGGCTCCCGCTGCCACTCTGTCTTTCAAAGCGGCTGTTCCACGTTAAGAGGAATGAATTACTCGCCGGAACGCCGACAGAGCTCCACGTGGGGGACCAAGAACCCGGAGCGATGAACGCCAGCCAGGTTCGCTCTCCCAAGTTGTCGTAAACTGACGCTTCCGCGCCTCTTCGCTTTACGACTCTCAGCTCTCTTTACGGCTCTGCGGCAGCCGGGCGCGGATCCTTGGGGAGGATCTGCGTGAGGCCACGCCCACTGTGACTTCCGCCTGCGGGGCGGGCTCCGCCAAGCCCCGCCCCGGAGGAGGGCGCCACGCCTCCGTCCTCCAGGCGCGCGCATCCTCCCTGGCGTGCCAGTGCTCCCGGGCGCGCCTGTCCTCCCAACGCCCTCTCCCTTCTCTGAAAAGGAAGCCAGGCGGAGGGCAGAGAAGCAGAACTTTTTGTTTTTGAATGGGAAAACCCACCCTAATCTGCATTAATGATTAAAGCTATTAAAGTATGCAAATGGATTGTACTACGGGATGTAATTGTGAAGATTAAATGGAATCGTGCACGGGTATCCGCTGGCTGTAACTGAAAGAAAGACAATATATTGCCTCTATTAGTACTGGAAGACCTGATAGGTTTTAGGCAGGAAAGAGCATTAATTTTTTTTTAAAGATTTATTTATTTATGCATACAAGAACTGGGGTACAGGCCAAAGGTGCAGGGGAGTGAGAGGATTCACCAGAGACAGAGCAGGGAACAGAACAGGCCGATCAACTGAAATACACTGCTGAGAGGAGCAATGGGTGAGACAGGAGAGGTCTGCCTCATGTGGGTTTCTCCCTGGCAGGCCGAGGATTGAACTCGTGCTGCAGAGGCTGCAGATTGCTTCACAGAGTTGTGCTTAACCCTTGCGCCACCAGGGAGGCCCAAGAACATTAATTTTAATTCTCTTAATTCTTTGTCATTAACAGCCTGTCATTAGCCTATTTCCCCATTTCCAGCATCCTGCAGGATTCTAAGGAGAGAGGGAGAGAGATCAATTTTCCGACTAGAATATCTAAAAGAACACACACAATCATCTCACAATTGTTTTACAGATTATTTTACAAATTATTGTTATATACTATTCATTAGACACTTTAATAGTCACATTGGTCAAATTTATGTTTTGCTTGCCGTCTATGAAAACTTTAAGGATATGGCTTCTTAGCTATGGGCTGCTCTGTGCTACTCCCTCAAAGTCTGTGGTAACTTGCAGGGTATTTAGCTGTTTTCACTCTGTCACACATGACAGAATGATGTCAGGAAATGGGAATTTGGGAGGAGTGAGCAGGGTGAGGAAGAGAGGTAGTCCTGAAACCTCAGTTGGGGTACGACTGAGCAGGAACAGTACTGGAAAGAGCATTAAAGTACACTGGGAGAGTTTAGTAAAATCTTACAGGTTGTGAAGAAGAAGCTTCCAGAGGAATCAAATGGACAGTCTCTTTTGCAGATACAGCTGCCCATGGAGATAAAGAGGACCAAGCTGGATCTTCAAGCTAGATTACATCTTTGCAGTAAGAAAAGGGAAATATTTCAGTTGGCCTGCATAAAGACAAGCCTTGGGAGATGGAAAGAAGAGGAGTGTTGATTTTTGAGAACACACCACCAAATGGATTACTATTTAAGATCATAGAGGAAGTTCTGGAACTGTAGACTAGACACATAAAGACTTTATAAGATTTTTGTAACTTTTAGCATTTCCTTACAATTGTTACAATTTTGGTGTTTTCAGTTATGGGAGGGAAAAATCTTTAAACCAGTAAGGATTCTTGATAGCATCACAGATACCTAAGCTCAGCAGTCCACACTGAGGCTGTAGTTTTAGTAGTGTTATTGTTGTGAAAGTATTGGTAGTTGTGATGGTATTGTTGAATGATAGTTTTGAAGGAAAAGGGAGACTTAAACGGTCCTGGAAGAGGGAACTATGAGCTGTTGGAAAATAGAGCAAGGGAACTACTAGAGTCAGGTCAGGGACAGAGAAAAGGAGGCAGAAGTCATGTAGGGCCGTCACAGAACTATTATTCGGTTTCTCAAACCCCTTTCCCTCCCTTTTCCACCTCAGTGTAGTAGAAGGACAAGTATAACTTCCTCAATATAGGATTGAAGCTTCTTTTTTTTTTTTTTACAATTTTTAAAAAATATTTTAAAAAATTTATTTATGCATACAAGAACTGGGGTGCAGGCCAGAGGTACAGAGGGTGAGAGGATTCACCAAAGTCAGAGTTGGGAGCAAGACAGGCACATCTACTGAAAAACACTGCTAAGGGGAGCAGTGGGTGAGATAGGAGACATCTGCTGTGCCAGGTGGGTTAGCTCCCTGGCCTGGGACCAAACTCGGGCCTTTGTGGCTGGTGATAGCCTAACAAAGCTGAGACTTTAACCCCTGCGCCACCAGGGAAGACCCGGATTGAAGCTTCTTGTTGCAACTCCTTCATATCTTGTGACCCCACATTGGATGTGATGATGCAGCTCTCCTAACCACTTTAGGCGCTGACCCTTTGCTAAAATGCATAATTGAGTTGTTTAATAACTAGAACCCTGGGATTCTTTTGTGGGGAAATATCTTAGATAAGAATTAAATATCTGAGACAGTACATATTAGGGATAGTTAAAGGAAATAGAGAAATCATATTTATTAGGGATGGTTAAAATATTTTGGTGGCTCAGCGAGCAACTTGTGTGATTAACTCTCTGACTGACTACAGAGTCAACCAGAGTGAGGACTAGAAGGACCTTTCCCTGACCCATCAATGAATGGGTAAGAAAAGGAAGATGCAGAGGGGAGAAGAGCACAAGGGAATATAGCGATGGTTTACGGGTGAACTAGTGGTGGGAATTTTATGGGGAATACACAATGATCTAAAAGATATAAATAAAAAATTAATTAAAAAGGAAGATGCAGGAAGTAAAATGATTTATTTGAGAGGCTATAGTGATGATGATGATGATGTTTTGCATCATCTCTTGCATCTTTCTCTTAAGTCAACTTAAAAGAAAGGTCAGGAAGTAGAAGTAGGTCAGCTGTGTCCCACACTAAAGGAAGAAAGTAGAAACTAGACCCTGGAAGCCTGTATATTATTTTGTGTGGATGTGGATGTGTTGGGTTGCGCTGTAGGTTGTATTATTCAAAAGCAGATTCTGATAGGAGCTATAAGGAATCCATACTTGTGAAAGGAAGGGAGAGGAAGCAGGATGGGCCAGAGAGAAAATTTAAATTGTGATGTAGGTCTGAAAAGCTTTGGCCATAGGTAGGACTGGAGAAAGCATTTCCTTTATAGTGTCCCTCATCAGGAAGCACCGTCCCATACTTTATACCTGGTCCTACTCAGTCACCTGGTGCAGACTGCCCCAGAAGGGCATCATCCTGGCAGAAGGCATCCATGGGACTGGAACTGACAGCTGAAGCTGCTGACTGCACTTCTGTGGGTGGTAGCAAGTGCTTCTTTGAAGGGGAATCTGGGTGGCTCATCTCTGTGTCAAACAGAGTGTGAATGTGTGGTTCTAGTCACATGTAATCTGATTCATTCTGAAGGTTAGTTGTCTCCTCCATGTATCTTGTTAAAAATTAAAATACAGTCACTCCACAATTCCCAAGTTTAAGTACCCTTAGTGCGTATTGTCAAAGAGACAAATTATTGTTTTTGGCTCCTGTTCTGCAACCGCCCAGGCCAGGTAGGTTCACTGTTCAGGCAGCTTAAAAGAGAACCTTGGAGCCCTTGTCATCTTCCCCACAGATTTTCTAATATGGTGCAGGGGGAACAAGCCAGTAGGGAGACAGCAACTTGGGTCCCCCTGTGAATCTCTATCTGCTCTTTCCTCTGGGCATCCTCTCGCAGTCGTCGTCTCATAGCTGTTCTCTGTCACTTTCCGCTATGGTTGTTTTTTTGTGCGATGCTGCCCTTATATGCTCCGCCTCCGGGCTCAGGTGTGCCCACTTACGCATGCCCATATCACACCCCACGCGTCCACCACCAGGCATGCGTACCCCAAGCCCACGCGCCCAAGCGTCTCCTGCATTTAAGCCTGGAAGTGATAGCCACAGAGGCCAACGGTACAAAAGCCTGACCATCACGTACCCTACGGCTCCTACTACCAAATGCCTGGAGAAAAGACCAACAAGGTAAGGGAGATAGGATCCCTTAATATAAATATGGTTGTGGAGTTGTCTGAGCTGGACGCTATTCTTTTATGACATCTAGAAAAGCACTGGGTATAAATCTCTGCCTCTAGCCATGTGACCACTCAGAAGCTCAGTTAATTTCTTCATCTGTGAATTAGAGATACATAACCTGTATCACAGCCTATTTTGAGAATTGAGAAAATGTATGTGAAAGAGCTTTGTAAATAGTAAATTATTTTAGAAAGCTAAGTATTTTTTTTTTCTCATTTTACTTGTAATTTTGAAAATCTTGCTCAAGATAGTGTAATTATCTTCTCTTTCTGATTGTGGAGAACAACAAATACTTCTTAACTCACACAATGTTTGAGTATCAGAAATTGAGTGCAGCTGTTGGCCAGAACTGCTGTGTTAGAACTCCTAAGTTTGGAGACAATTGTTACATACCAAGAGATCATTAATACCAAGTCTCTGTATGGTTTGCAAATATTTTCTCCCAGTTTGTGACTTGTTTTCAATTTTCCTAGTTGCATCTTTTAAAGAGCAGAAGTTTTACATTTCAGTGAAGGCAAGCTTATCAAGTGTTAAAATGAATTGTGCTTTTAGTGTCATACTAAGATTGTGTCATACACCAAGATTCCAAGGATTTTCTCCTGTTTTTTTCTAGAAATGTTATAATTTTGATTTTTACATTTAGGTGTCTATGATTCATTTCGAGTTGACTTTCCTTGTGTTGTACAAAGTTATGACCAGAGTTCCTTTTTACTTGTGAATATCTATTGTCCAGCCATCATTTACTGAAAGATGATCTTTTCCCCTTGACTTGCCTTCACATTTTGTCAAAACTTAAATGACCACAAATATGAAGATTTATTTTTGTACTTTCTATTCTGCTTATTTATACACCCCCCCCCCAAATTTACATCAATACCACATACTCTCGATTATGGCAACTTTATAGGAAGTTGTAAAACTGGGTAATGTAGTCTCACTTTTCTCTTTTTCAAAATT